TTACTATTTGAACCCCATCAAATGTGGTGTGGTATTCTTGGAGAAAGAGTAGGGTGTGTCTTATGATGTGTTGCATGCAGTCCAGGATTAGGTTCACTCATGCATGACGCTTGGCTGGAGCGTGTGGTGAGCAGCTTTGAGCATGGTGGTGGTTGAGTTGTGGAGGTTTTTGGCCGCTGGAGCGGGATCTCTTGGGGCAGGGAGGGCTCTCACCTGCCTCCCTCTGGGGTGCCCCAAGTGAAACAATCTGTCGCAGGGTCCAGTGGCGTGGCTGTGGCGACACCCTGTTGAGTTCACTCCATCCCTATTTTACTTATAAAATTTAACTTTTCCCCAGGGATATTAGTTTTTTAGATTTCCTATTAACTAATTTGTCTTTTTCTTACATACTTCTTATATATGAAGGTGATTAACTATTTGTGAGAATTTCCCTAGCTTACATTGTATATAATCTCTCCTCATATATTTTAAATTTTATCTAATCAAATATATTCATCTTGATGCTGGAGCAATAGTGCAGAGGTAGGGTGTTTGCCCTTGCAGGCAGATGACCTGAATTTGATCCCCTGCACCCCATATGGTCCCCAGAGCCTGCCAGGGGTAATTCCTGCACACAGAGTCAGGAGTAAGCTACCACTGAGGGTGTCTCCCCCAAAATATATATATTCATGGTTATAGTTTTAAGATGGTTCTAAAAGGCCACATTACGATGTCACAAAGGAGTTTGCCAAAATGGCCATAAATCACATAGCATGTGTCTATAATATGTGTTAAGTTCTCATTTAATATCTTCAAACGGTTCTCAAAAAAATGTTTTTTATGGGTCCGGAACAATAGTACAGTGGGGTAGTGTATTTCTCTTGTGCGTGACCAACCTGGGTTTGATCCCCGACATCCCATATGGTCCACTGAGCACCATCAGGAGTAAATCTCGAGTGCAGAGCCAAGAGTAACCCCTGATCATCGCCGGGTGTGACTCAAAAATCTGCCACCCTGCAAAAAAAAATGGTTGTTACATTTATCAAAAGTGTAAGCAATGAACACAGTCCCTCAAATAATATCTTTCTGTTCAGGATTGGTGGGGAGTTTTGGTTAAACTCAACTTTATAATGAAATGATGTTGCGATAGCACAGCAGGCAGGGCATTTGCCTTGCACGCAGCTGACCCGGAAGACCCAGGTTCTATTCCTCCGCCTCTCTCGGAGAGCCAGGCAAGCTACCAAGAGTATCATACCTGCATGGCAGAGCCATGCCTGGTAAGCAACCCGTGGCATATTAGATATGACAAAAACAGTAACAACAAGTCTGACAATGGAGATGTTACTGGGCCACTCGAGCAAATTGATAAACAGTGGGAGGATAGTGACAGTGACAGTGACCGATGTTGAACATATCTGACGATATTTGACGTGCAACATAACTGATCTTTGGCTTCTGAGGGAGTGGTTGGTTTTTGTAATCTCTCTGCCTGGACCTTTTCTCCATTCAGCAAAGATTCATTTGTGTGGCACTAGAGTGGAGAGGGTAGGATATGACCATCTGGTCACATGGCTAACCCAGGTTTGATCCCTGAGCCCGAAAGGAGTGATCCTTGAGCACAGAGTCAGGGGTATGCCCTGAGCACAGCCAGAAGCAGTCCAAAACTGATGGAAACACTAAAGATCTGTGAGATATCATTGGGATCAGTTGCTGCTGACAAGGAAATGGGATCCTTCACAAGGGACTAGCTTCCCTCAGTCCACTGGACAGTGACAGGAGAGATAAGGTCATTGATGACACATCTGGTACAGTTTATAGCTGTGGACAAACCTGCCTTAGTGTCTGTCACAGCCCTGTTCTGCTTGGCTGGGATGTGAGTTAGGATGTCAGGGAGACACAACAGCGGTGATCATACCCTGAGAGAAGTCTGGAGTGCTGCAGACCTACACAGGTTGCAATTTTCTCTTCATTGGCCATATCTGCTCTGGCTTTCTGGCTGTGTCTCAGGAAGAAATCCTCTCAGAAGTTCCTTCTTTTATTTAATGGTCTCAGTCAACCAGGCTATCACAACAGAACAGCACAGACTGGATGGCTCAAGCAACAGGGATTCTTTTCAGTTTTGGAAACTGGAACTCCTAGATCAGGGCACCAGCATGGTTGGCATCTAGTGAGAACTCACTTGTTGGGTTACTGAGGGTCGCTTTTTTCTGCTGCCTCACCCAGTCTTTCCTCACCGTGTGGCAAAGAAGGAAATCTCTTCTCCTTCATGTGAGGGCACTAATCCTCTCATCAGGACCCCATCCTCATTACCTCACCACGACCTAATCTAAACCTGTTTGGTTCCACCTCTAAAAAAATATCATACAGGTGGAAATGGCTTCAATATAGGTATTTGGGGGAGGATAGGTAAATATTTGCTCCCTAGCCGGGAAGTGTCAGCAATGGGTTCTCTCTAGGACAATGTGCTTGTGGTAATGATAGATAGGATCGCTGTATGGTGGAAAAGTCTGATGGACTCTGTCAGGGAAGGCTCAGAGGACTTCGGGGTTGAAAGTGGCTTTAGAGGGGAGAATTTGACATATTTTGGCCAGCCCTTGTGACCAAAGATTCTTCTTAGGTTTGTTTATTTATTTTCCCGGTGTTTATAAACAAAACTGTGTAGCTGTGATGCTTCTAGACTCTCAGAACCTCTGTTCCTCCACACTGTGGGAATGTGGGCTCAGCTCTGGAACACAAGCTGTTTGATGGGAGCAGTCCAGAGAGTAAAGCCTTTCTTAATTGCAGTGATTAAATAAAGCTTCTGCTTTTGTGTTCTAAGGACTATACAAAGCTATTCTGCTCTGTTACATAGCCAATGTAACTCTGTTACATAGCCAATCTCATCTGTTTGTCTTGGAGATGGGACTCAGAACCCAAGGGGACTCACACAATGGAAAGCATCTCTGAGATGAAATCTCTAAGGTAAAAGGCGGGTCTCAAACAGTTCCTCCCTCTTGATACCCTGTGGGGCCCCAGCATCACTTCTTTTCAGTTCTTTTACACTTCATCATGCTCTTCACATTCCTTCCAGGAAATGAGCTCCCAGTGATACTCAGCCAACTGAGTCAGGTGGTTGAGTGATTGGGTCCAGGCAAATGGGGCCAGGAATCAATCTGAGGTCCATTTGCGTGTAAGACATACTGAGTTCAGAGCTATATCACCAATATTTAACCATTCCAGGATGTAATTGGGGCACTATTTGGTTCTTCTGTCACTTTGGTCTCTGATTGGGAACCACCTTGGTTGCTCCTCATTGTAGCCTTGAGTTGTCTCTTGAGATGTGGTTCTGGGGTCTTTCATAAACCACCTCCCTCCACCTCTGGGGTTTATGAAAGGTTTATTTGATGTTTCCTATCATGTCTCAGCTGAGATTACAGATTTTTCATATCATACCATAGAGGAATCTCCTCATACACCCTATCATGAGGGCCCTCCCCACCAACCCGGTGTGGGTGAACCTTATTAGCCATGAGTCAGGCTCACCATGCTCTCTTGACTAAGGTGGTGTCCACTGGATTTTTCCATGTGAGTTTCTCCTTCTCCCCTTTCCAACCCTATTTGTGGGGCCAAGTCACAAGGTGCCCCCAGCCCTGCTTTTCTCACCTTCTAGAGGAAGAAGTAGCAGAGAATTGGTGGACAGATGTTACAAACACCAATGCCTTTGGGCACAGCTGCTTTCATGCCACATGGGTGTCCTGTGCCCAGATAGGTGGTGTTTCAGTGACTTTATACAGTTTTGAATTCTGGGAGACAGGCTGTCTTCACTCTTCCCAGTTTTTTGTCACTAGATTAGTGAATCGGAATAATAAACTGCTTAAGGAGGCCTGTTTCTTTGTGTCTAGATGGTGCTTTATTAGATTTCTGCTGACAGCTGCATTTTTTTTCTTTTTGGGTCACACCCGGCGATGCTCAGGGGTTACTCCTGGCTCTGCACTCAAGAATCACTCCTGGCGGTGCTCGGGGGACTATATGGGATGCTGGGAATTGAACCTGGGTCAGCCGTGTGCAAGGCAAACGCCCTACCCACTGTGCTATTGCTCCAGCCCCCTGACAGCTGCATTTTAATGTGGAAACTTCTGGAGGCCTAACTCCTGGGAGTGACACATGGGCTTGCTGCTGGGGTCTAGGTCATGAGGTAGCTGTGCTCACTTTTAAATGTGTGACTCACTGGCTTGCTTGCAAAGGTAGGGTGACAACTTAAAGGAAGTGTTAAGATGATGTCAATTGCAGAGTGTATTTTTAGATGCCTTTTCCCCACCTTCAAGGCTATATTTGAACTTCCGATTGAGTTATGTGAGTTTAAGGGATAAATTTGGTTAAAAGTACCTCCAGCCATAATTGACCTTGTGACAAATTCAGCTGGATCAAGGAGAAGTGATATCAGGTCAGTAGTGTACTTACATGCTCTAAAATTCCCAATCCAGTGATATTACAGTGAGTAGGGCATTTGCCTTGCATGTGGCCAACCCGGTTTTGATCTCCAACATCCTGTATGGTCCTCTGAGCGCTGCCAGGAGTAATCCCTGAGTGTAGAGCCAGGAATAACCCTGGGTGTGACCCAGAAAGCCAAAAAAAAAAAATCAAAACGAAAAACCAAAATTCCCAATCTGCATTGTGCATTGTCTCCACCAAAAAGTTACGGTTTTTTGCAATCAGATAGCTCTGCTATTGATCACTGATTGCCAACCATTTAGGCAGATGGTGGGAAGGGGGAATCTCCTACAGTTTTCCTGTAGAAATTCTTTTCAAAGTAATTAGTGGCTTTCTAAATAAACATCAATCTGGATGATCTGGTTTTGGCAACTTTTTAATTCCCAGCAGCATAGATAACTGAACACAGAATACAAGTAGCATACCCCCACCTTGTGGCAATGTCCCTGATGGTTTGCCCCACCATCAAAGCTGATCCTGAAGGCAAGTGGTTTGCAGGTAATGTTTGCTAGCCACAGGAAGTTGAATTCTGGCGCTTTTTTTTTCCCTAGGATGATTTCCTGTTCAGCGTCTCCATCCTAAGTGGGATCCTGTGCAGTGTCCTTGCCGTGCTGAAGTTCATGCTGGGGAAGGTTCTGACAAGCAGGGCACTCATCACAGATGGTGAGTAGGGCTGTTGGGCCTCATCTAGGGGGTCTGAACTCCTCAGCAGTGTCTTGTGTTGCAGAAGAGCTCAAAAATTTGGGATCCATTCCTCACTGTCCTCCCCTTGCTAGTCATTGTCAAGATTCACACTTCAGAGCAGATATCTTGAGCCCTGGGAAGTCAATCAGTTCTGCTTGCTTCACCACCTCCCTTGACCTCATAAGATCGAGGTTCCTGGCCTCTGAATCATGAAGCACATGAGATTCCCCAGAATCTTGGATTTCATATGTTTCCTTGCTCCAAAGTGTTAGTGCCTTTTTGTTTGTTCTGTTTTGGGGTCACACCTTTCTGTACTCAGGGCTTATTCCTGAGGGGACCAAATGGGGTTATTAGGTATTGAACTTGGGTCAGCTGTGTGCAAGACAAGTGCCGTGCTGGTTGGGGATTTTTCCAGCCCCCCAAATCAGTGCCTTTAAGGGGCCTAGATCCATGTGCCCCCTGTGCATTCTCCATGCTCACATCCTCTCCAGCTAGGGAGACTTTCACTGTGGTGTTCAACTTACCACTAGCCAGGCTGGTGGTGGTGGGGACCGGGGTGGGTTAAGGGCAATGCTCACTCTATGCTTAGATCCCAAACCAGGCAGAAAAGATTCTGTGTCTATGGGTCAGCACATTTCTTCTTCTTTTTCTTTATTTTTTTAAATTTTTGGGTCATATCTCATCTGGCAATGCTCAGGGGTTACTCCTGGCTCTGCTCTCAGGAATTACTCCTGGTGGTGCTTAGGGGACCATATAGAATGCCAGGGATCAAACCCTAGTAGGCTTCGTGGAAGGCAAAAACCTTCTCTGATGTACTATCACCCCAGCGTGAGAAGCAGGTGCTCAGCCCTCTGAGAAGTTTCTATCTCTAACCTGCAGGGTGGATTTTTCTCTCTTCTGGGGATTGTTTAGGACAACCTCTCTGCTGAAGGCTGAGTGTGGACACAGCTCAGACCCATCGCCAGCTGATCCTCTTTCCCTTCCTCCTTGCCAGGGCCCCTCCAGTCTTGACTGCTGCCATGCTAAACACAGGGGTGCCAGGAAACTGGCTCTCTGCTTGCTGATCCTGCCGTGCTGTTCTTTCCTTTTTAAAGATATTTTATTTATTTATTTATTTATTTGCTTTTTGGGTCACACCCGGCAATGCACAGGGGTTACTCCTGGCTCTTCATTCAGGAATTACTCCTGGCGGTGCTCGGCAGACCACATGGGATGCGAACCCGGGTCAGCCGCATGCAAGGGAAACGCTCTACCCACTGTGCTATAGTTCCAGCCCCTGTTCTTTCCTTTAACGTGGTAGAAGCGAAGCCCTGTGTGTCCTCCCTAGAGAAACCACTTCTGACTTCGTGGCTTCCACAACACGCAGGCATGGTTTCTGTGGGAGGAGATTTACAAAGAGAAGTGAATGATTAGGGTGAAAAAGTTTCCCAGACAGGTGCTGAGTTGGGAAGAATGCCCCTTTGGCAGAGGGGACCCCATGGGGGCATCGGAAGGGGCATGTGTAGGAGGATTCCCATGTGTGGGCATGGGGAGCTTTGCAGGACATTTTGGAACAAACGAGAGTTTGGGATGTTTTACTAAATATCCAAATAGATAAAGAGTTCATTGCCCGCGTGCTGCAGGGTATGGCCTTTGTTGGCCTCCAGTCATTGCAGGAATGTGCCCTCAATAGTGCTGTAATGAAATAGACCTTCCCGGAATCAAGCGGGAGAGGAGAGTGGAGGGAAGGTAGGAACGTGCTAAGGAAGGGAGAGGCATCTGGGAAGCTGGAGGTGGTGGTGGCTTGAACATGACAGAGGGGTGGAGACACGGAGTAGTGTTTGAAGTCATGCCAGCACTATTTGTCAAGTGGCAGGGCACAGGAATGAATGGGCCATGAGGAAAGAGAGGAGGAGGAGGAGGAGGAAAAGGAGGAAGAAAAGGAGGCGAGGACAGGGCAGAAAGAGATACAGGAAGGGAAGAAAGAGGGACAGTGGGCAGGGCACTGGCCCTGTGCATCTTCTATAACTGCTCTGATTCTTGGTGAGCATGCCAGCAGAATGTACGGGAATAATTACAGCCTCCTGCTAATTGCATCATCTGTGATTCTGGTTTTACTCATTCATTGATTAGCAGAGCTCGGAAACAATCTGTAATTATCTCCTCTCTGTTCCTCCCTTGATTTGTTCGGTCGTGGGGAGCATGGCAGCCTTGACTGTGTTGGGACATCTCTGTTGTACTCCAAGAGAGGAGCCCATGCCTTTTGACTGTCCCTGGAAATGCAGCCTAATGATGTGGGGGATTAGGGACACACATAAGCTAAGCACTTTGTCTCTATAAAGGAAACTGTGTGCTCCAGCAGGAAAGGGAGGGTGGGCCTCACATGTCCCCTGGCAGGGGCAGTTTCCTGTGATGGAGCTGCATGTGCACTGGGTCAGGCTAAGCCATGGTGTGCTGGTCCCGGGGTTGTGATCTACAGCCAGGAAGCTGTCTGGGGAAGAGACAGCAGCAAGTGGATAAGTGGCAGGCTTCCCACTTGGTGCAGTCAATTGCAGTGAATCTTGTCTAATGTGGTTTTGTGGTTTTGGTATTTAGTCAACATCAGGAGTAGACTGAAGCTGGCTTTGTATTATTTAAGGCAAAATGTGTTGGAGCATGAACACCTGGGAGGCACGTGTTCCCCCACCCAAGCTATACCCAGCCCTGGGATCAGATGGGTTTGTTTAGTTTGGGGGCAACACCTGGCAATGCTCAGGGCTTACTCCTGGCTCTGTGCTCAGGGATCACCCCAGGTGGGGCTCAGGAGACCATATGCCATGCTGGAGATTGAACCCAGGTTCGCCATGTGAAAGGCAAGCACCTGACCTGCTGTACTATCTCTCCAGCCCTGGAGACAGATGATTTTGTACAGCAAGTTAAAGCTGTAAGTCAGATAAGAAGACAGGGGATCAGGGAGGTGGCTCAAAAAGGCTGGAGCACATGCTTTGCATGCAGGAGTCCTGGGTTTGATTCCAGTACCATCTGGTTCCTTGAACACTGGCCTGGGAAGGCCTTCAACCCCTGAAAAATCATGATACAGGGGCTGGACTGATAGCACAGCAGGTAGGGTGTTTGCCTTGCACGCGGCTGACCTGGGTTTCATTCCCAGCATCCCAGATGGTCCCCCGAGCACCACCAGGAGTAATTTCTGAGTGCAGAGTCAGGAGTAACCCCTATGCATCGCCGGATGTGACCCAAAAAGAAAAAAAAAAGAAAGAAAAATCATGATTCTGAAGAGCTACCAGGGGAAGCCTGACCTAGAAGCTGGTGCTGGGCTGTAGGCTGCAGGGGACCATCTCTCTACACCCAGAGCTCTGGTGTCACCCTTCCCTCACTCCTTTGCAATTCTACCCAATCATCAAGACGATGTAACAATTTTCAGGCGCATGAGACATTTTTTTCTAATCAGAGCTTTCTTCTTGAAACGAAGCACAATCTATGTGCCTCATCACATAGATGCTTACCTAGTAATTAGGAGTGGACTGGTGGAGTCTTTAGCCCAGCATTGAGGATCCTATGGTGCTCGTCCCCTAATAACAGCATTTCATTTTGAACAGCTTTGTGACTTTAATTGGTGGGCCCTGGTGGGTGGGCAAGAGAGTCACGGGATGATGGAACAAGTCAGGGTCTGGACGTGGGTCGTTCCCACGAGAAAACTGGACTGGTGAGGTGAGCGAGGCTCTGCCCTAACCAGAAGGCAGTGGAGGCGCCTTCTAGAAGGCTCGCAGGAGACAGGCGAGGGCGCGCTGCAGCCGGGAGCAACGCAGGGGCATGGAGGGCGCATGCGTAGGGGGCCCTGGACCAGCAAGCCGGGAACATGATGGAGCGGAGAGGACATCTAGTGGCTGTCTTGGGCAGCTCATGGGCACCCCGCATCTTTTTTAAGAGCTCTTGACTGAGCTGGGGAGAGGCAGGGAGGAGGGCAACGCTTTCCTCGGGCCACCCGAAGGAAACGTCCCCTCCGACTTTGAGAATGCCCAAGGGGCAAACTGTCAGCCCACTGGCCAGGGCAGTATCTGGCCGCTGCTGCTTTTTTTTTTCTTCAAATTTTTATTGAAAAAAAAAACCTGTACAACTGTACCTCATGGTGTTTTAGTGAAACACCATGAGATACAGTTGTAGACTTAACAAAATTTTGTGCTTGGGTTTCAGTTATACAGTGATTGAGTACCCATCCCTCCAGCAGTGCCCATTCTCCACCACCACTGATCCCAGTATTCCTCCACCCCTCCATCTCCCCCATCCCACCCTGCCTCTGTGGCAGGGCATTCCCTTTTGTTCTTTCTCTCCTTTTGGGTGCTGTGGTTTGCAAAAGAGGCATTAGGTGGCAATCATGTTTGGTCTATAGTCTACTTTCAGCATGCTTCTCCCATCCTGGGAGGATCCTCCCAACACCCTTTATTTGATGCTTCCTTCTCTATCTGAGCTGCCGTTTCCTCTAGCATGTGTGGCTGGCCTCCAAGCCATGGAGTAAACCTCCTGGTACTTATCCTGGCTATTCTTGAGTGTTAGTCTCCTACTTTGTTATTTTATGTTCCCCAGATGAATGCAATCTTTCTGTCTGTCCCTTTCTTTCACCGCTGCTGCTTTTGCAGTTTCTAAGAAAAGACACTTGTAGAGACTTATTTTTTTTTAAAAAAAAAGGGCTGGTATCCTTCAGTCCATTCAGGACAATGGGGAGGACCAGCCAGAGGCAGGAGAGAGCCACAGCTTTTCATAAAGGATATGAAACTCTTGGGGACTCAGAAGATGTGACTCGGGTAGGCCTGCCACGCAGAGGCACACAGGCAGGACCCACAGAGAAGTGTGCGGGGACCACACGGGTGGAATGTGGCGGTGCTCATGGCTCTGCCTGCAAGGGGCTAGGATGGACTCAATTGAAATAAAGCTGCTAGCTGTGGCAACAAATGGTTTCAGGTGGGCAGTTGTGCTTTTAAAAAACAAAGGGCCTGGGGGGCAGGTGAGGTTCTTCCCTTGTACTAGCCTGACCTGGTTTTGGTCCCCAGTACTGCATATGGTCCACTCAGGCACCACCAGGTGTGACCCCTGAATGCAGAGTAAGGAATAGGTCCTGAGTAGGGCCAGGTGGGAAGGAAGGAAGGAAGGAAGGAAGGAAGGAAGGAAGGAAGGAAGGAAGGAAGGAAGGAAGGAAGGAAGGTAGGTTGTGGCAGTGGCTGGGGAGGCAGTCAGAGGCTTGGCAGCCTTGGGAGAGCCCCAGGAGGAGGCCAGGCAGGCCCTTTGGGGAGAGCTTGTGGGGGGTGCTGGCAGCAGCCAGGTGGTAGGAACTCTGAGAATGAGGAGAGGCAGGTGGAGTTTGTCATCTGAGGGCCAGTCAAGCTCAAAGAGTCCCACGAGTATTTGCAGTCAGGCTGCTGTTCTGTTGGGGCCTTCTGGCTTCGTGAGGATGAGTGGAGGCCAGCGAGAGAGATCTCAGCACCGGGGCTGGGTGGGAGAGGTGGGGAGGTAAAGTTTTGGAGTTAACTATCGGCAAGAATTACTCTACAGGTTGCAAAGATTCAGGGTGTGAGAAAAGCAGGGGTGGCCCCTAGAGATTTGTCCTCAGCAGCTGGCCGGGGTTATGGAGAGTCAAGGGGGTGGGTATGAGGTGCCCAGAGTTCTCTGTGTTGAACAGGACCAGATGCAGTGCCAGGTACCCAACTGGGTTGACCACACCCGAAGCAAGCACCTAACCCCCGTACTGCCTCCAGTCCCGAGAAGTCCCTTCCACAAAGAAACCCCAGAAGTGTAGGCCCTGCCATTTGGCTGCTCCAGACAGCAGTACCCGCTAGTGATCTGCCCCTGAAGGGAAGGGTCGGCAGAAGGAAATCAGGAGCTTTGCCTGGTGGGGGTGGAGGCCGCTGGATGTTGGCAGAATAGCGTGCTAAAGACTGAGCCTGGCACTTAAGTGGGGAAGGGGCAGGACTAGGAAAGGAGGCTGAGGAGAATCATGAGCAAAGAGGAAACTGGTCAGGAACAGTCCTAGAAAATGGCAGAGTTTCTTGGAGGCATGAGCTCAGCACAGCAGTCAACCTGGGCAGCGTGGAGCCAGCCAGGGACCCCCCACCCCAGCGTCCTGGGGAGGCAGAAGAGACCAGAAGGAACAGGAAGCTTGTAACTATCTCATGTTGATTCAATAAAATTAAAAGGTGGGATGGGGGGGCTGGGGGGGTGGGTGGGAGGGATACTGGGATCCATGGTGGTGAAAAATGGGCACTGGTGGAGGGATGGGTACTTGATCATTGTATAACTGAAACCCAAGCGCAAAAATTTGTAAGTCTACAACTGTACCTCATGGTGTTTCACTAATAAAAATTTTAATAAAAGGAACAGGAGGTGCAGATATGGTGCCAGCTTGGGGCTGGCACAAGGGCTCAAGGAGTTGGAAGTGGGAGATGGTAAGGCTGGTCCCAGTGGGAATGAGCCAGGGGGAAGGGAGAATTTCCAGTCTGCGGAGAGCCAGTGTGAGAAGGTGGCCCAGGCCCTCACTGGAGGAACCTGGAGAAACAGCTGGCTGGGGAAGGTGAGGGGTGACACATGGATGGTGATGGACTTGCTGTTGGAGAGTTGAGGGGCTCCTGGCTGCACCTCTGTGTTCTGACAGCAAGGCTTTGGTGCCTGATAGGAGCTGGAGTGGGTGGGCTGCTTGGTCAGTGTCATGGCCAGTGCTGAGAAGTCCTGACGTCCCAGCTCCATCTCGTGCCTGTCCTTAGAGCCCACCCCCTGTTAAGGTCTGTGGGGACCCTGAGAAGGAAGGGGCTCCTGGGGCTTGGCTCAAATCATAACTGTCCCTCTCCCCTTCCCCCGTGCCCTCAGGGAGTGCCTTCTGGTGGTTTGATCCAGTTGGGCGTGGGGTATGTGGCACACAGGCTCCTGTGTAACCCTGGGGAGCAAGGGACTAGCCACCCTGCAGGCCCCAGAAGGCACGTGTGGGCCTGGAACTTCTCTCTGGGTTCCACACCCCATTCTACTGCAGCAGGTGAGGTCCATGCAGTGACACCCCCAGAGTGGCTCTGAGACCTACCTGTGTGGCCTTGGGCGTGACTCACCAGTACAGCAAAATGGGGGTGCCTAAGTATGAGAATGAAATGGGGTGACACTGATGAAAGGAGAGGGCGACCCACATTCCTGAGCTCCAGTGAGGGTGTCCCGGTGCCATTCCGTGACCATGAAGCTGGTGCTGGACTTGACACTTCTCTTCCCAGAGAGCAGAAATTTTCAAGTTGCTGAGGAGGCACTGGGGGAAGAGGGAGTCCTGGTTCAGTGGCAGCCCAGCAGCTCAGTCCTTTTATTGGGCCTCACTGCTTCACCTCATTTTCTCACTGGTAAACGCGTAGGATATTTTGACTTCATGGGAGCAAGAAGATTCCAGCTTGACCCTTGGCCCGGCAGATAGCCCGTGGATTTGAGTCCCCCTATTTGATGGGCTCCTGTGTGCTGAGTTGGGCACTCTCCCTGATTCTGAGGCCCACTAGGGTCGCTGCTTCCCAGGAGAGCTGGGTGGCCAGTGGGCAAGGAAAAGTCACAGGACCGGGGCTGGAGTGATAGTACAGTGGGTAGGGCATTTGTCTTGCACGCGGCTGACCTGGGTTTGATTCCCAGCATCCCATAAGGTTGCCCGAGCACTGCCAGGAGTAATTCATAAGTGCATGAGGCAGGAGTAACCCCTGTGCAATGCCAGGTGTGACCCAAAAAGCAAAAAATAAAAAAAGCCACAGAACCACATGCCTCTGTGTCACATGGGCATAGTGCCTGGCAGGGGACTGGATTGCTGGTGGCACTGACCAGTGTATCCCTCTGAGGCTCTGGTGACCATTGATATCTGGACAAGCCACATGGCCACAGTGGTAGTGGCCGTCGCTCAGGAGAGCAGTGTTCCTGCCAGCACCTTCTCTGCAACAAGGCCCCTGAGAAAGCTACTGCCCTCTTCCCTGGGCTTAGCATCTCCCCTCTCCTTCCCTCCGCTCTTTTTGTTTTTTCGATGATTCTCAGGGATCACTCCTGGTGGGTCTCGGGAGACCATATTGGGTGCCAGGGATCGAACCTGGGTGGCTGCGTTGTAAGGCAAACTCCCCTTTCTGCTCCAGTCCCCAACTTCGGCTTCTTTTGCAGGGTTTAACTCCCTTGTAGGTGGCGTTATGGGCTTCTCCATTCTCCTGAGCGCAGAGGTGTTCAAGCATAATGCATCAGTCTGGTACCTGGATGGAAGCATCGGAGTGCTCATTGGCCTCACCATATTCGCCTACGGGGTCAAGTAAGTGTCCGCCAGCCCCTCCCCTACCCTGCAGCCAGAAGAGCCATATTTTCCCTCCCTGTAGGTCACCTTTCCTCCTGGTGATCTGCCCAAGTCTGGGAGGGCTCAGGGAACACCTAAGTCCCCTCAGGGTTTAGCTTCTCAGCTGCAAGCACACAAAAGAGGTGAGCTCTCACTTGGGAAGCAGGCCTGGGCTCTTAGTCCCAAGAGATCTTTTACTTCTTTTTTTTTTTCTCTTTGAGTCACACCCAGCGATGCACAGGGGTTACTCCTGGCTCTGCACTCAGGAATCAGTCCTGGAGGTTCTCAGGGGACCATATTGGGATGCTGGGAATCAAACCTGGTTTGGCTGCAAGCAAGGCAAATGCCCTACCCGCTGTCCTATCACTCCAGCCCCAAGATCTCTTTAACTTCTGTTTCCGCAGAGACGTAAGAATACTCTGCATCTCCCTCCCTCCTCGAAGATGTCCCCAACTTCTTTCTTTCTTGTTGGGGTTGTAATGATATTCTGGGTGAGCCCCTGGGTTTAGCTTTGCCTGGGGGAAAACTCTGCTGGCCACGTGTGGGTCCTGTGGGGAGCCTCCAACTGATGAATTCTCATCCTTCAGGATTTTGTTTTCACTTTTTTGTGAAAGGGACTTCTCAGGACAGAGTAGTACAGGGGTGTAGGTGCTTTCCTTTCATGTGACTGACCTCACTGGTCAACCACACATGGTCCCTAGGCACTACTGGGAGCAACCCCTGAGCACAGAGCCAGAAGTGGTCCCTGAGAATGGCTGGATGTGACACAAATTACTCTCTGTCCCCCTTCCAAAGGGACTTATCAGCACAGAAGGGTCACTGAGGAAGCACCTACCTCGTCCTTGATCCTCACGCAGGTAGTGCCCTATAGGTGTGACTGACAACACCCCTGCCTGAGCTGGCATCTTACCTTTGAGAGGCCCATTTCTAACTATTAAGATGCTTTTTTTTCCCCTTAAATTTTTATAAGTGAAACACCTTGAGGTACAGTTGTAGACTTATAAATTTTTGTGCTTGGGTTTCAATTATACAATGATAGAGTACCCATCCCTCCACCAGTGCCCATTCTCCACCACCACAAATCCCAGTATCCCTCCCACCCCCCATCCCTCCCATCCCCCCCCTACCTTTGTGGCAGGGCATTCCCTTTTGTTCTCTCTCCCCTTTTGAGTGCTGTGGTTTGCAAAAGAGACATTGAGTAGCAATCCCACCAGGATGGTTATTAAAAAAAAAAAGAAAAAAAAGGGCACATGAGAATGGGATGAAAAATAAAAGCCTCATTTTGTGGTGAGAATGTAAAATGGTGCAGTCACTGGAAAATGGTAGTCTCGTGGGTTCCTTATACCAGTTAGCTGATGAAAGGATGCATAGGATATGGCCAGGCACTGGAGTGGAGCATTTTTTAGTCAGAAAGAGGACCGTGTACTGATTGGTTTCACAGCACGGGTGAGCCTCAAAAAGTATACCATGAAGCCAGGCATAAAAGGGCACTCACGGAGTGACCCCTTTAGGGGCAATGCCAGACTAGGCAATGGGAGATGAGAAAGAGTCTCTGTCTTCCAGAGAGACTGAAAGTAGACTAGTGGCTGAGGAAAGTGGGAGTGACAGCTGGTCAGCGACAGAGATTTTGTGGAAGTAGACGGCGGTGAGGGCTGTGTGATCTCTGTGCTGACTAAAGACACTCCCTACAGGTGAAGTTCACGGCACGGACATGATGGCGAATGTGCTCCTATCAGGCCCCAGAGTGGCCCTGGGAATGCATTCGGGTGACCTGTTTCCTCTTTGCAGACTCCTCATGGACATGGTGCCCAGGGTGAGGCAGACGCGCCACTACGAGATGTTTGAGTGAGCAGCTGGGCATCGCGTGGACCCCATCAAGATGGCAGGAGGCTCCCACACAGGCAGATGGTGCCAATGTTTAATTGAACATCCAGCTTTTGTTTTTCGTTGTTTTGGGGGACGGTTTATGCTCCTGGGCACGAGGTGTACCCAGTAGGTGGGTCTGCACTGCTCCCCCCGCCTCACTCCCATCAGACACAGTGAACAGCAGGGGAGACTCATTTCCTGTCACCTGACACGAAGTGATGTCTCAGTTTTTGGGAGAGTCTGGATTCCCACGGAGTGAGTGAGAGCACTGTTCTCTGGTACTCCCAGCTGAGACGGATGGACACTGAGCAGACCCACCTCATGGCAAACATAAGGGAAGGTCACCCTTGTGTCCCTGGGATCCCCCGCTTTTCCACACTCAGAATCATCAGTATATATCACCTCCTAATTTCTATCAATGTATTTCATTTGTTTCATAACGTTTTACTAATCCTAAATCTGAACCGATTTGTCCAAAAGGAGACCATTCTATTTTTCAAGTGCTTAGTGATCTACGTAGGAGCTTTGCATGAATGAAGTTAAGCACACGGCCCTTTCTTGTATACCAAGAACCTGAACACACACATAAAAACAGGATTCATTTTTGAGAGATGTGAAACTACACTTTATTTGTAATAAATAATTATATAATCTATTCATATATGCATATATCTATATGCTGTGCTATGTGGTAATGGTACATTACAGTCTGTTAGAGGTGGCTCACTCTGTAAGGAATGTTTTCCATTTCTGTCATGTCGTAGGTATAGACTCCATAAAAACCTCCCCCAACACGCAACGTTCTGTACCTCTGGCACTGTGGCTTGTCCCGGCAAGTGTCTGACCAATAAACACCTTTACCTGTTTTGTATGGTATGTTAAGCTTCTCTTTGAGGACTGTCACCACTGTGGGCAGGTTTTCTGCGCATGTTGCTGAAGAGTGACATGGAAGTGGTCACTTGGGCTGGTGGGGGTTGAGGGGGTAAGGGGAGACTCCAGGCTGTCTTGATGGGCCTTGAGGCCTCTGTAGGAAGACTCAGCAACTGCTCTCAAGTAGGGATTAGGTGCCATGGGAGGGATATTAAGGGATGGCCACCCGCCCCCGCCCCCACCCCCGGTCCTTCAGGCTGACTTCAGGAAGGTGTTGGCTCTAAGGAGGTCACTGATCTTGGTTCTATCTGATGCTTTCAACATCTTTCGAATCCTCCAACAGCATTTGATTGTTCTACAGATCACTCAAGCTACCTTGGGCAAAGGGTCTTGGAAATGTAGGATCAGTGGGATTCACTTGTATTTCTCATTCTATTTCATCTACATGTGGCAACTCAGGGTGGGGACATTTCTAAGAAGCAGCCACCAGGAGTAGGCACTCAGGTTTTTCATGGTACCATTTTTGAGATTTGTGTGTCCGCCAACCCTGAATATACTGTAGCCGTCATAGGGTCTCCACAGGGGGCAGGAGCACCACTGGTTGCAGAGCTGCCAAATGGTGGGCTTCCAGCACCACCTACCGGCCAGGGGCAGCCTTCAAGTCCTCTGGAACATTCTCTCTACCCACATGCTACGAGACCGTGACCCCAGTCAAGAAGTGCTTTTTTTTTGGGGGAGGGGGGCGTTAGGTTCCAGTAGGCCCTCCTAGATAGCATCTTCAGGGCTATCTGACAAGTGCATCCTCCCAAGATTTTAAATAATATATGGTAGCACACAGTTATAACCTTCACCCAGACACAGGGAGAGCAGAAGAGCATTCTCTTTCTGTTCTTAGACTCACCTTCCCGTCAACAGGGTTTGCCAGTGATGAAATGTGGCCAGTTGGGTCCCAGGATTGGGGGACGCAGCCAGACAGCAGCTGAGCTCCATTCTGCATGCATTCTCCCACCCCACCAGCCCCTCCCCGTCCAAATCACTTCCAGTGGTCACACAAGAAAGATTTATTGAAAAATAAAGTTCTCCCTAGTTTTCTCTACAACAGTGGAAAACAAAGCAGTGCTTTCTAGGCCAGTACAGTACATTTGGACAGCGACACCATATTTGCAGAATCCTGCACTACATAACCCCAGAAGTGAACAGTAGAAAACGTTTTATTTTGTTTTTACCAGAAGCTGTTTGAAGACACAGACGCAAACGGTCATTAGCTTAAAGACATCAAGGTTGTGACAGCAACTACAGTAGAAAGGAAGTCACCATCTCCTTTGGCATCGATTGTTCTGCTCTTGTCCTGTTAATACTGGGGCAGGACGGTGAGCAAAATGCTTCCCAAGTTCTCTCCATCTTGGCTTTGGCGGAGGTGGCAGCCGGTGCTAATCCCACAGAGGCTTTTGGCCCTCCAGCTCTGAACCACAACCAGCCCTCCCTCCACAGACAGAGATGTCGACCCGCCCGTGGCCGCAGACGCACACGGCGGCTCAACCAAGCCTTCACCGTGTGGCACCAGCTGAAGGGGTTGGGGATCTTAAGGCTCCACAAAATCTGGGATAGAGTGAAGATGCTTAGAAGAAGGTAAATTCCACTAAATTCTCAGGTCCATAGGAGGGTAACATTGCTGATTTCAGCGGAAGAGAATCTCTCAGTGGAAGAGAACTTGAAGGACACATTGTCACTAGCAAATGTCTCCATATTCCACAGCTGTAGTCCATCCAGAGTCAGGCCAAGGTTGGGGAGGAGAGCACACGCTCACTCTGACAGGACATTAAGAGGCTAATGCCTGCTAAGATTCTTGACTGGCCTGGGGCAAGTGGAGCTTCTCTGGGACCAGGACCGAGAGGAACATGTAGACAGATCGCCAGCCCAGGAGTCTGATCCCTGCAGACAGGGCAGTGGCAGGGTCGCCCTGACCAGCAGGGGACAGCGTGGGGGTTAAGAAGTCCAATGAGCCATCCCTTTATTTTTAAATCATAATAAAAACCCAAACAGAAAAGTCTCTATTATTTTTTAAAGAGGAATACCGCTAAATTTCATTGAACAGGTATAGTAAGTGAGAACTTCGTGTATAGCTCAAAGCGTATAAAGAAAAACCCTGGAACTCTGCTTATTCCTCACCAGTAGTAGAGGGGCAAGGTGCCATTTCATTCAAGTTGACAAATTCTTACAGTCTGTTTCACCTGGGGCTGAAGTCAGGCATATCTTTCAAACCAATCAATGCATTGAGAGATATAGTTTCAAAGAGCAAGCTGGGCTTCAGACTTGAATGTCCTAACTCCGTCATTCCTACAACATTTTATCTGCCTGTAATATATTTTTTATGTAGAAGTTGCTTTTGAACCAACAGGGAGTGAGCTCAGCTGCTCATTTCTCAAAATTTGTGAAATGCTAATAACAATATTTAACATTTACTAGGGCTTACTATAGGTCAGACATTGCTTAACACTGAATGCTCACTAAGACACCCAAGTGCTAAGAATAAGAGCTAGGGCAGTGTTTGCCTGTATCCAGGATTCTACAGCTAACCTGGCCATTTGCTCTAATACCTTGGCTGTCCACTTTTTATTGAAGCCAACGAAAGCAAAAAGAATTTAGTCTTCGCTTTAGGCAAATTCCCACATTCCTCAGTAAACAGTATTCTATTTTTTTTACACCCATCTATTGTTCTACCCGAAGATGCTCTACAGTCCTGTAGAAGTGAATGGGATTTGAAGGAAGCCAATATGGATAAAACTATTTAAAAATAAATACAACAGTCCAGGCTTAGGAGAATAATGTATATGCCAGAGCCTGTCGTTAACAAAATAGAACTTCTTCTTCTTTTTTTTTTTCAAATTGAGAATTTTGGGTCATACAGGAGGGCAGCAATTGTCTCAGTTACCAGCACTGACTAGATCAACTAGGAGAAATGGGGTGGCCTGCCTTGGCCTGGCCAGCACAAACTAAATCACACACCGCGCATGTTTAGCCCACCATGGCACCTTCATGCTTGCATTGCCAGAGGGGTGCTCTGGGCTCTGCTTCCAAAGGGGAAGCTGAGTACTGGCCTTTCCTAAACTCTTTCTTAGCTAAGCGAACAACAAAAAAGGGGGGGGGGGGCTGCGCGGTCTCCCCTTCACGATGCTAACCAGGTCAAGTGTTCCTTGGCCAGTGCTTCTCACTTGCCTTTTGGGGGCCCGATGCCCTTCAGTGCAGCCCCTCTGGGAGGGCCCCAGCCACATGGCACCGAGTGCCTGGGTGGTGGCACAATGGGCACAGTCCCAGAGAGACCCAGAGGCCTGGGTGAGCAGCTGAGGAGGGTGTGGGCAGGTCCGGAGGAAGGCAGCACCCTTCTCCTGGGGTCCTCGGGGTCTTCGGGGCTGGTGGGGGGGGGTCAGGAAGTGTCTGTGCTTGTGTGCTGTGGCCTCAGGGGCCTGGTGTGGCTGACACACAGCCTGAGTGTCTGCAGTAACAATGGGCCAGTTCTTTCTTCCAACTCGAGTCTGTCCTCTCTCAATAGCACTCACACCCCAAAAACCAACCCCAAAGAAAAGGGAAAAGGCACATCAGAGAAAAATAAATACCAAAGAACAGACTCTTCATATTTCTAAACATAGAGCAAATACACACACACACACACACACACACACACACACACACACACACAGAGAGCAAACTACAAGCAGTGACCAAAAGTAAAAAAAATCAACAAAAAACTCCAATCTAAGCAAAAATGCAAAAAGCGGCTCCATTTGTACATGTGCAAATCAAAGTCCATACACAACCCCATGAGGTGTTTACTGGCATTAAAGGATGTATGTACCCCCCTCTGTCCGGGCGTAAAACCGGTTTTTACTCCTGGAAGTGTTCATGTCTCAAAGGATAGCATTTTCTCTTTTAATAAGTTAATTTCTTTTTTCTCTCAAGTGTGAAAAGGACTTAGGATTGCTATGGAGAGGTGAGGGAATTACAGATTTCACTTAGGAAAAGGGCAAAAGGAAAAGACCACGCCAGACTGGCCTCCTGCTCACTGCACAGTAAGACACTGCTCTTGTGGCATGATGATTAAAGAGGTTTTGGGTTCTCTTGAGATCAGCGCTAGAAAACCCAGAAAAGCCCCCTCTCCCCCCACACTGAGAGGTGCCTTTCCCTGGGCATCAGACACAGGGGCACCCTCCCCAATTTCCTCTGCAACCAAGATTATGGGGGGCCTGGCGGCCTTACAGACTGCGCCTGCCCCTCTCAAGAATGCCCCTAGCAACTGGAGTGTGGGTTGGTTTGCAGCCTATTAGGAGTTTGCTCACTTCCCACCAATACTGGACTGAGGGAAGCAGCGGGTATAGGGGTGGGATAAAAAAATGCTGGGGGCAAGGGGGCTGCTGGCCCTGCGGCCCCGGACATGAAGTGGAGAAGGTGCAGAGGCCCTGAGCTCAGGGGCAGCTAGCCGACCATCCCAACGGCTTCCTTGCCTTCTGAGATCCTGTGCTTGTTTCAACAGCTCTGCTATAAGGGCCCCCAGGCCCCACCAGAGGATGGGGATCTAGTTTGCTGCCTCCCACAGCTGGTCCAGGGCCCCCCTGATTTCATCAGCTCTGACAGTTGCCAGACGAGCCCAGGAGAGGGTGGCACCAGCCCAGGTGTGGCAGGCCTGGCTTCTTCGGGGCTGCAGCCCAGGGAGGGGGAAACATTTCCTCAGGGAAGAGGGAAGAGAGGGAAGGCAGGATCCTTCCCCACAGGAAGCTGCCCTCGCCAAACGCACACACATCCTCTCTCTCACACCGGCACCCTTGGGATTGGCACTTGTTGCTGCGCCGGGCAGACTGCTTGGCCAGTCTGGGAGTGACTCCCAGGGCACCCTAAGGTGCGAGGTGACCCTGGCGGTCAAGCTTGACCCCTCCACTCTCTAGGATCAGAGGTACAATTCGCATTAGCCCAGGGGGGCATCGAAGAGCAAAGGCTGCTGCCGCCTGGGTGGCACTTCTGCCCTAGTGAAGTCGAAAAAAGCAGCGGGCAGAGCTGAACTCCTCCACGCTCCCTGCGGGTGTTGCACAGCAAAATTCACTCCTCCTCCAGCCTACTTCCCCAGGACTTGCTCCCGACCTTAACCAATAGTGGGGAAGCACAGGGGGTGTCCGCGGCCCCAGGGCTGGGCACATCATGAGAAGGGAAGAAGGCTCAGGGTGACCAGCCTCGGGAGGCCACGAGCACTCCAGATTCGCAGACACCTGGACACACCACACAGCCACCTTGCTTGTTTGGAGAAGGAGCTGGGTGGCTCACGCGGCGCATCCAGGCACCTGGACACCAGAGGCCGGAGGCGCCTCCAACCTGCCATCTGACTCTTCTTCCCTTTAGAGTATTTGTGCCTGGAGTGATTGTGGGCATCAGACAACCACCCTGTGAGAGCGGCACCTGCACTCTGCCAGCACCCAGGATAGCAGGGCACCCTCCTCCCCGGCCCTGCTCCCTCGGTCCACACAGAATTCACCAAACAGATACCAGGGGTGCCCAGCCTGTGCCCGCTTGTCTGTAGCCCCACTTTGGTGCCAGCATAGGTTTCTCGAGGTCCAGCTTCACCCCTGTCCAAATCCCAGCTTGAAGGCCACCCTCTCACTGGCTAGAAGGGAATGAGACCCCCGCCCCCACCCATCCCCGTCTTGGGGGAAACTTGTTGCTCCGCATTTCGGTGAGGGAGGGCTCTTTCCAGCCTTACATTTCTTCCTAAGGGGGTCCTAAGCAGAAATTAGGGCCCAGGTATGCACCGGGGTGCCGGGGACATGGAGGAATGGGAACTGCGAGGAGCCAGGTCCCCCACCCCCAATTGTCCTCCAGAGTGTCATGACCCCCGTGGCACCCACCAGAGCAGAAGGGAATGTCAGAGTAGAGGTGGACGGTCGGCAATGGGAGAAATCGGGACAACGTGGCTGACCCCTGCGCCCTCCCCTGCTTCCCCTCCCTCCCTCCCAAATAAATAAGTTAATGGGTCTAGGAATGTTCCCATGCACAGTTCTTGCCGATCAGCTCAATCCTGCTGGGCGTGTTTCGGATGGAAATAAATCTTGAGACTCTTCTCCTACCCCCGGAGCAGCTGCCCTGAGAGTCTCCTCCATCACGGCTCCTTGGAACGTAACATTGGAGTTGTGCCAAGGGGAAAAAGTCAGGCTCCCAGGCTGACGCGGCAGAGACTCCGGACGCAGAAGGAGCAACGTCACCTGCCACTACCAAGAAATTCAGGCTCTGGGGAGAGTCCCTGGATGACTCGGAGCCCCCGGCTCTGTCCTGGGCGGAGTGTGGGCGGCCGAGCGGGTGCCGCTATAGACAGTCCTTGCACAGGGCCACCTGGCCCTTGAGGAAGTCCCTGCACGGGCAGATCCTCTGGTGCGTGGGGTGGGCACCCGCACAGCTGAACAGCAGGAGGTCTCCCTGAAACACACAGTGCTTGTTCTTGGGGTCGTACGACGGCACCAGGATGTCCTTGGCCAGCTCAGAGCTCTGGCAGTTCACCTTGTACCTGAAGGGTAGAGAAAGGCCCATGGTTGGAGGAGCAGGGAACCCCTGGGGTCTCCGGCCCCAGCCTCCCGGGGGAAGCAGGCATGAAAGGGCAGCCCTGCCTGCCCTAGTACGCCCCCTCCTCCAGGCAGCCCGGCCCCAGTGGGCAGTGAGGCAGGGAAGTGTGTCCTAATGGGGAAAACAGGGAAATGACTCCAGTCCTGTCCCACAAGGATGGGTTGAAGAGATGATGATATCAGGTCTCCAGGATCCAGGCAGTCCTTGGAACAGAATGAGGGAGAAACACACAACCATCAGCAGAGAGAGCTGGGCTCCAGAGATGTGTTGTGAGCGGCTATGTGTGTGAACGTGTGCAGGAACATATGTGTGCACATGTGAGCACATGTGTGGGCTCATGTGAACATTCATAGGCACATACGTGTGTGGGTGTGGGCACATATACATCCATGGGTGTCAACACGTGTGTACATGTGTGGGCACACGTGTGCATGTATGATGTAGGCATGTGTATGCATGTATATGTGCTCGCACATGCATAAAATGTTGAGGCTACACATGAAAGTTGCTACGGTGGCTCCCAGTGAGGAACGAGTCGGGCAAACACTGAGTTTTATGTTTAACTGTTGAGTTCATGGCTTTAAAAGACATTCTGTGGCAGGGCATTCCCACAGAGGCAGGGTGGGACGGGGAGTTGGGGGGGTTGGAGGGATTCTGGGATCCGTGGTGGTGGAAAATGGGCACTGGTGGGGGGATGGGTACTTAATCACTCTATAATTGAAACCCAAGCACAAAAATTTGTAAGTCTACAACTGTACCTCATGGTGTTTCACTCATAAAAATTAAGAAAAAAAAAAACACATTCTGTGCTCCCAGTCTGCTGTTAGAAAGTGTGGACGGTTGGAGTGACAGCACATTGGGTAGGGCATTTGCCTTGCATGTGGCCAACCCAGTTCGATTCCCAGCATCCCATATGGTCCCCTGAGCACCGCCAGGAGTAATTCCTGAGTACAGAGCTAGGAGTAACCCCTTTGCAACGCCAGGTATAACCCAAAAAGCCGAAAAAAAAAAGTGGGGATGGTGTCGCCCCCAACCCCTCTGCGGGAGGGAATAAGTGACCTTGTCTCCAGTGGGGCCCTGGGTTTCGGATGCCCCGAGTGGGACTCCTGTACCTCTGCCATCATTGCCCCACAGCTAGCCTGCAACCTGGAGGTCTCTGGGCTTCTGCTTCCCCAGGCCACAGCCCCTGTCTGGGGAAAAGAACAACCCAATGCGGTTCCCAGAAGTCTCTTTGCCAAAAGAAGAGCTGATGACTGTCTCACTGTGCCCAGGAGCTAGAGTCCCACCCGCCAGTTCCCCCAGATTAAGGTCTCGTCAAGTGTCAGTCTGTTGCTCCCTGCCAGGTGGGAAGCAGTTGAAAGGGTCAGCCAGACCTGGGTCAAAGCCCTGGTTTCTTCTCTTTGAGCTGTGTGACCCTGGTCAAATGTCTCAGCTCTTCTATTCTCCAATTCCTTTCCTGTGAAGCGGATATATATATGTATTTATATATATATATACATACATGGATTTGGTGTGAGTATAACAATTATTAAATTCATATTCGAAGATAACTTGACAGAACTGAGCTCTGGATAAGTGCTTAATTGTTCATTATTATTATTATTATTATTATTATTATTATTATTATCTTCCCAAGCAGTGCTCAAGAGATTCAGGGGTCCCGCTGGTGATTCCTTTCCAACCAGGCTGCTGGGTCCATGCCGGGGTCACTGAGGAGGTGATGTTGCCCAGACAGTGTGGTGCTGAGGGTACACACACCACTCCAAAATTGTGTGGGCACTTCCAGGGTTGCACCCAAAGATGTCCAGGAGACCACATGGTGCCAGGAAGCAAACTCAGGCTGGTCAAATGTTCCCTCACACAGCCCTGAGTGCTGTGCTAGCTTCCAGTCCTATGGTCATTATTATTACAATCGTCATGTGGTCACCCCACCACCCTACAGTCAGAGGCACAATGGGCTCCAACTCTCTATGTGAATTTATATCTATTCTCAAGACTTAGGGAGAGGATCAGGCAGGGACACTCAAGCTTTCCTGCTGTCTCTGGACAAGTCCCAAATATTGGGACAAAGCATCCACCCTTCTCCCCTTATCTTCTCCCAGGGAGCCTACTAACTGACTGGCCCTGCCTGCCTTTGCTCCTGTGATTCTGAGGCCGCCAGCCTGCAACTCTTATCTTGTTCTCACGGTTGCCAGGGAGTTGTGTGATATCTCTGTGTGCCGATAGATGCACAGTGGATACCCATTAGCTTCATAGGGGTGAACATTTTGCCCGAAGGACAAATACTGAGTCAGGTTGTATATCTGAAATGAATATGAATGTAGTCACTGTCACTGTCATTGTCATCCCATCGTTCATCGATTTCCTCGAGCGGCCCAGTAACGTCTCCATTTTGAGACTTGTTGTTACTGTGTTTGGCATATCGAATATGTCACGGGTAGCTTGCCAGGCTTTGCTGTGCGAGCGAGATACTCTCGGTAGCTTGCTGGGCTCTCCAAGAGGGGTAGAGGAATCGAACCCCGGTTGGTCGGATTGGCCACATGGAAGGCAAATGCCCTACCCACTGTGCTATCACTCCAGTGTCAGTTATATCTCAATAAATGTAAAAAGAAACTGCATCTATAAAATTGAAATAAAACAGGGCATTTTCTGGGGGAGGCAGGCCAACCTATCACCTGCTTCTTGTCTGTGTTCCCCAACAGCCCGTACTTCTGGGCACCTGAGTCCCCTTCAGCCCATCTTGAGCCTGGATGGACTAGAAGCACCACCCCTGCCACCTCCCTCCCCCCCACCCCCGCACTCACTTGAGCATGTCCTTGTCCTTGTTGAGGTGCTGGAAGAAAGAGGGCTCGCAGATGAGCTGGTGCTCTTGGCATACCTGCTTGCACGACTGCCCGGGCTGTGCCAGCTGCACCTGCAAGGCGCTGAGGGGCGGCCACATCACCTGCCCATGGCAGAAGTCCTGTAATGACAATGACAAGGATGCCATCAGCCCTGGCATGTTGGGGGATATAAGACGGGCCCTGCACAGGCTGCCCTTGTCTCTGTGATGGGCATCACGGTGCAGAGAGAGAGAGAGAGACCAGGAAGTCAAAGAGTGGGGAGCTTGGCTCTGGGCTGGGTGCATTGTTTGTTCTTTCTCCTCAAAGAACTTAGGGACAGCAGTTCCCAGGTGCTGCTTCCCTCTATCCAGGTGGGTGCCACTCCCACCCGGGGTTGGAGCATCAGTGGTCAGCCCAACTATGCACAGACCATTCATTCTGGCTGCTACCAATATGTCCTACTCATGGTCTACATGAAGGCCCGAACCCAGGCCCACCCTCACCAACCATCCCCATGATGTGTGTGGTGCTCATCGAATTGGACAGTCACCCTGTGGCCACCAGCTTTTTCCACCTCAACATGGGGTGGGGATTACGATCCTTCTCCCAATGCAGGGAGTGAGAGGTGTGCTTGGAAGAGGGGAAGGGAATGGAACACTGCTGGAAGAAGCGACGGACAGCACAAGGGTGAAAGTGCTTGTGCTGCATATGGCCAACCCCAATCTGATCCCCGGCACTGTTTGATCCCCAGCACTGTTCAGGGTCCTCTGAGTACCACCAGCAGGAAACCCTGAATACACCGCCATAGCCAGAATTAAGGCCTGAGCACAGCTGGTCGTGACCCCCAAATGCGACTATGTCATGTGTCTAATGAAAAACAGAGGCATCACAAAGGAGCTTTAAGGCCTAAAGCTCTAACCAGACAACCAACATCTTAAGAGAGAACATGAAAATCCAGCCATACCTGCTACATGGCTCATATTCAGCAAACAGAGCCCTGACCTTATTTCACCTTTCTCCTCATATCTGACCCAAACACGCATTAGCTCACATTATTAGAAGTGCATCATATGTACAAGTAGGCATGTAGGCATTAAATGCAGAGGCAACCTTAGTAGCACCCCAAATGTGCTCCCCAAGCCCCTTAGCCACATTCCTCCCCTGAATAACGTCACTCCTTAAGAAGCCTCATTCCCAAACCTAGCGTGACTCTCTGCCAGGAGGACCTGCACTGACACTGGCTCTTCAGTGAAGCTCTCTACTCTTAACCCACATTGTTTGTTCTTTTCCCTCAAAGAACTTAGGGACAGCAGTTCCCAGGTGCTGCTTCCCTCTATCCAGGCGGGTGCCACTCCTACTCGGGGTTGGAGCATCCGTGGTCAGCCCAACTATGCACAGGCCATTCATTCTGGCTGCTACCAATACGTCCTACTCATGGTCTTCAGGGAAGGCCCGAACCCGGGCTCACCTTCACCAACCATCCCCATGATGTGTGTGGTGCTCATCGAATTGGACAGTTACCTATGATGACACCTGTGTGCACTCTTCCTTATTCCTCTTATGACCTGGGCCATCCCCTGTGATTTTGCTGCTTGGTCTGGTCCACCAGAGTCACAGCCTGGGATGCTCTGGAACCTTGTGGTGTCAGGCATGGAACTCAGGGCTCACACATGTCATGCTTCTGCTCTACCAGTTGACCTAGTTGAGGCTCTGTGAGGGCCTTCAACTGGCATCTTTAAGAGAATAGACCACGAGGTCCTGGGCTTGGCTGGGGTGCAGTGCTTGCTGAAAATAGTGGATGCCACACTAAATCAGCACTGAGAGAAGGAAAACCCAAAACAAACCACTCAGAACTTTCCCTTTTTATTGAATAACAAAATACATGCCCGTTCCACCCCCTCCCCACCATGGACCTAAGGTTAATGTTACCCTCCTCTACCCCCATGGCACTCCAGCATCCCAGAGGGGTGGGTAATGCCCACTTTGGGGACACTGACCTAGCACCTGATTTCTTAAAATGTGGATCATGACTCTACATAGGATCATGTAACTGAATGTGGGAGTCACAATAAATCTTAAACATTCATTTAAAAATAAAATTCTTGGATTGGAGAGCTCTAGAACAGCTTTTAAGGTGGCTGACCCTGGTGGCTGACTCCCTGGGTACCACTGGGAGTCACCCCTGAGGACTGAGCCTGGAGGAGTCCCCAGACACTGGAAGGTATGAGCCCCTCTCTGCCGGGTACCGAGAAGCAAAGGGAATGTGGCTACAAAGAGTGGGTCAACTCTCCACATGCTTGGATGACCTCACCCAAGAGGGGACGAGCCTCACCCAAGATGGGATGAACCTCACTCGAAAGCAGGCCAGCAGGAAAACCCAAGTACGTGGGAACCCGTGACTGAGTCCACTCGGATCCTCCCAGCCCCCAATTTTTCCAGTAGCTTGGCAGTCACACCCACAAACTGCCCCCAGTGCCATGTAATCTCATCAAAGGCCAAAACCCAGAGACTATAAACTAAAGCTGCAGAATTTCATGGAGCACACATGACCGCATTTGTGGCCGCACAACATCTTATACTTTACTCGACTTATTTATCAAAAGCATCACAGGGTTTCTAACATACTTGCTTGTATTCTCTTATATTTGGGCTTAAATGGCTCCAGAATGAAATACAATAACCCTCGCACACTAGGCACTTATTATTGTGAGAAGATGCTCAGTGGTTGGATTGCTGTTTGAATATTATAGTAATGAATTATTGTGAACTACTTTTATGAAGAGCAGGTCAGGGCCGCACCCTGGAGGGGTGTTTTTTAGGGGGTGCGAGGAGGGGCTTGTGATTTTAGTACCTTCAGCAAATCAAAGCAAGACAAAAAAGTGGACCCCAGGCTCCAAGGGCAGCTGGTACCCCCTGCTTCTTTCTTTAACCAGCTGTGATCCTTGGGGCAAGAGTCATAGGATTCTGAAGCCTAAAAATAAAATGCAGACAGGGGAGCTGAAAGCTGGCTCAGGGGGTCAAGAACTTGGCTTCCACATGTGAGGCCCAGAGCCTGACCATCTGGGCATCGGCCAGCACCTAGTACCATGCAGTCTTGACCTCTGGCATCGTGCATGACCTCTGGCCTCCAGGTGGTCAGATGTGGGAGAGCACCATCACTGCTCAGCTCTATGACTCGGGTGTCATCCCTGCAGGCAGCAGGGTGACCGGCAATCATGCTGAATGTTCACTGGAACTGGGAAGAGGGGGTGCCTGGTGACTACACTGCAGTGTGCTAACATTTAGTAAACTAAATGTGCAGTGTCGGGGCTGGAGTGATAGAACAGTGGGTAGGGCCTTTGCCTTGCAAGCGGCCAGTATCGGTTCGATTCCCAGCATCCCATCTGGTCCCCCGAGCGCTGCCAGGAGTAATTTCTGAGTGCATGAGCCAGGAGTAACCCCCGTGCATTGCCAGGTGTGACCCAAAAGGAAAAATAAATAAACAAATGTGCAGTGCCACAGCCCACGTGGTGTGAGCCCATTGCCACCAACAGAGGGAAATCCAATACACGACCACAGAGTTGAGGACAGTGATAATGACGCTGCTGACCTCGGTTCCTGCTTCCCTCTCCCTCCTTCCCAAGGCAGCCCCACGTGCACACTGATTTCTCAATACTCAGTACTGTGTCCAAATTCGCCCCACTGAAGGACTGGTCACCAACAAGGAAGGCACAGATGTGTGTCCCCACCTCACATGGCTCTGTAAGCAGGGGGGCTGACTCAGTGCCCCCCCCAAAAAAAACCCCGGTGGTGAATAAAAAGAAACCTTTGTCTCAAAAGGTCAGGTGACCTAGGACTTGAAGGACTAAGAGATGTCAGGGATCAAGCCAGAATCAGCTACATGCATGCAATGTTACTCTCTGGCCCCTAAGAATTCTTTAAGAGCAAGCTAAAAACTTACACAATCTATTAATATAACAGGAAAGAAATTTTATATACAGTATATACCATAGCCTACTGGGACTCGAAGGCGGAAGATTCTAGAAGCAACTCTTAACTCAGAGATGAATAGGAACAGGTCAGAATGCTTAAATATATCAGGTTCCCTATCTGAGCTTCTCTATTTGAGTTGCTTTTTTCCCCATCATGTGAGGCCGGCTTCTAAACTGTGGAGTAATCCTCCTGATACTTCAGATAGAAAAGGGACCTAAGTAAAGGGTACTAGGAGGGCCTGCTTGGGATGGGAGATGCGGACTAAAAGTAGACCACAGACGGAACATGATGGCCACTTAATACCTCTACTGCAAACCACAACAGCCAAAAGGAGAGAGAGAGAGAGAGAGAGAGAGAGAGAGAGAGAGAGAGAGAGAGAGAGAGAGAGAGAGAGAGAGAGAGAGCGCGAGAGCAAAAGGAGGGGATGGGGTGGGGGTGGCAGGAGGGATGCTAGGACCACTAATAGTTGAAAATGGGCACTGGTGGAGGGATGGGTACTCAATCATTGTATAGCTGAAACACAAGCACCAAAGTTTGTAAGTCTGTAACTGTACCTCACGCTGCTGATTTACTAATAAAAAAATTTAAAAATATATATCAGGTTCCAACCTAATCTTTGGAAAGTGATGGTGGAGGGAGGATAGGCAGGGCAGGGTACCCTCAGGGACACACCAGCGCTGATCTGACTCCTGAGACTCAGGATTATCTTGAGCCTGGTGTGACCCATGAACTTGCTGAGACCAGGGAAGCGCAGAGACTGGTTTGGCTGCTGTGGCCGAAGACACAGTGCCACACAAGTGCATGCACAGACACCAACAGGAACCCAGCACTTCCCGGGGCCCAACGCCACTGGCAGCTGGAGACTTGCTGATGGCTGTCACATCGGAAGACCAGTGCAGACTGCGCACCACTGCCAAGCAGGTGACGGATACTTGGCAAAGAGGTTGCTTTTCCTGTCATCTGCTCCAATGCCTGGCCTGAATGTGGGAGTCACGATGAATCTTAAGAATCCATTTTAAAATAAACTTGGACTGGAGAGCTCTAGCACTGCTTTTAAGGGCAGCAGTAACCTCAGGTACAAGGGTGGGAAGGTACATTTTTTGTTGTTCAATAAAAAAAGGAAAGCTCTGAGTGGCTTGGTTTGGTTTTTCCTGCTCTCAGTGTTGAC